TTGGCTTTGTTGCCATTGCTTTTAGTGTTTTAGTCATGAAGTCTTTGCCCATGCCTATGTCCCTGAATGGCATTGCCTAGGGTTTCTTCTAAGGTTTTTATGGTTTTAGGTCTTACATTTAAGTCCTTAATCCATCTTGAGTTAATTTTTGTTTAAGGTGTAAGGAAGGGATCCAGTTTCAACTTTCTACATATGGCTAGCCAGTTTTCCCAGCACCATTTATTAAATAGGGAATCCTATCCCCATTGATCGTTTTTGTCAGGTTTATCCAAGATCAGATGGTTGTAGATGTGTGGTGCTATTTCTGAGGTCTCTGTTCTGTTCCATTGGTCTATATATCTGTTTTGGTACCGTACCATGCTGATTTGGTTACTGTAGCTTTTTAGCACAGTTTGAAGTCAGGTAGTGTGATGTCTCCAGCTTGGTTATTTTTGTTTGGGATTATCTTGGCTATGCAGGCTCTTTGTTGGCTCCATATGAAATTTAAAGTAGTTTTTTCCAATTCTGTGAAGAAAGTCAATGGGAGCTTGATGAGGATAGCATTGAATCTATAAATTACCTTGGGCAGTATGGCCATTTTCACGATATTGATTTTTCCTATCCATGAGCATGGAATATTCTTCCATTTGTTTGTGTCCTCTTTTATTTTGTTGAGCAGTAGTTTGTAGTTCTCCTTGAAGAGGTCCTTCACATCCCTTGTAAGTTGGATTCCTAGGTATTTTATTCTCTTTGTAGTAATTGTGAATGGGAGTTCACTCATGATTTGGCTCCCTATTCTTTATCAAAGTTCTGAATATTAGCCAAATCATCAAAGAAGATATTCATTACCTTTAATTCTTATAACTTTTCTTAGCAATAAAATTCATGGTAAGACAGCTAGCAGATAAAAAATGTACAGGTACATAGTTTAAAACAACACTGATTAGCATACCAAAAGAAAATTGAGCCAATCTTTGTTATATGTAATACAAATATTTTATATATGTACATTTAGCTATGTTTGGAGACCCACGTTTCTGCACATATATAATTATTTAAGACATAGTTTATGTATAGCTACCATGAACACAATAAAATACATTTTATTTCTATATTAACACATTTTAACCTATCTTAGTGATCTGTAGAAAGATCTAGACAATGATTCTGGTTTTAACTACATTTCTTTTTTGTTTCTTTACCTTGGAGGTCAAGACATCTTTATGACAGAAGAACAGAAGAAATACTATAATGCAATGAAAAAGCTGGGGTCCAAGAAGCCACAAAAGCCAATTCCTCGTCCAGGGGTAAAAAAAAATTATGTATCTTTAGCATATAGATTTTCAAATTATTTCTAATTCATTTTTAATGCACATCTTTAATTTCTAGATACTACTTCAAAAATTTACTCTGCATTCAATATTATTCTCATTTCTTTGCAGAACAAAATCCAAGGATGTATATTTGACCTAGTGACAAATCAAGCATTTGATATCAGTATCATGGTTCTTATCTGTCTCAACATGGTAACCATGATGGTAGAAAAGGAGGGTCAAAGTCCATATATGACTGACGTTTTATATTGGATAAATGTGGTTTTTATAATCCTTTTCACTGGAGAATGTGTGCTAAAACTGATCTCCCTCAGATACTACTACTTCACTATAGGATGGAATATTTTTGATTTTGTGGTTGTGATTATCTCCATTGTAGGTAAGAATATTTATTATTCAGATTTTATTTTTTGAGTAAAGCTAAACTTCACTTATGCTCAAGGAAGTATATTCTGAATTCTTGAATGCAGATTTATTCTTGAGTAAGTCAGTATAATGAAAGAATGAAAAAAATCCTAAAAAGCAAAATAAAAATATCTGTGTCTCTCATACTACAGTGTTTCTGGGTTTACGCTACAGGCCCCAAAGCCAAATATTTCTATCTGTTAGAAGGAAATTATACTTGTTGATATTTAGTTTCCAATATTACCTTTGCAAAGCTAGTTACCATGTTTATATATAGCTGTGTATATAGCTGTGTCTTGGAAAAACCAATGTCGAATCTGAAATCCCTTCTGGTTTTAGCACATGTGAGACTTGTCATTTGATTAATGATAATATCAATAGCCAGAATATCTGTGAATTTCTGAAAATTCTTCCAGAATTTAAAGTGAAGTTAAAGTCTCTAGAAATGCCAGTTTTATTTTTTAAGGCTTAATACTTCACAAGTGTATAAAATGCGAATCATTCCTCAACCAGCCATGGTCATGTCTGTGAACAACAGCACATGATTTTATACTTCCTACATATTCATTATCATGGCTGTTTTTCTATCTTGTTGGGGTTTTTTTCATTATTTTCACATATCTTGCAAAGAATTTTAGGATTGTATTTCTTTTTAGAATTATAAACTTTTAATAAAGATTATAGAGATTATTTACTACAAACTTAATCAACAGGTTATCAGTCTGAAAAGGTTAAAGGTTGCATAACTTAGAATCATAAAACTGAGTGCCACAGAACAGAATAAGCATTTAAAATCAATATTTTTGGAAAAGGATATTATCACCAGAAGTCATACCAAAATTGATATAGGAAAATCAATTAAAATTTAGATGAGAATTTCACACTAACAATAATAATTCTGAAAGCATTCCCATTAAGTCAGAGAAAAAAAGTGTCCCTGTATCATCCCTGTTTTTGATAGTGTTGGCCAATGCAATTAGATAAGAAAACAAAGAGGTACATATATCCAAACAATGGAGCAAATGATCCTTATCTTAATATAATGACCTTCTTCATATAATGAAAGAACTTCTTCATATAATGAATGACCTTTTTCATATAATGAAAGAGAATCAACTAAAAATAAATTCAATTAGAGTTGAAAAGGTACAAATTTTAAATTACATGTGCCAACACTAATAATCTTATACATGAAAAAAATAGAAAATCTGATTCACAATTGCAATAAAAATAAAGTAAATTATCTAACAATAACTTTATCATATGAGACTTCTGAAGAAAACTTTAGGATATAAAAGAAAGCTGAAATAATTGAAAGGATTATCATGTACTTAGATAAACTTCTATCATTGTAAGTAAGACTTTTTAATTTATTAATCTACAAGTTCAAGGAAAATATCAATGAGCCTTTTTATGCAGTGGGGGTAATAAATTGACAATAACAATGTAAGTCTAAATGATTCTAAATTCATCGGAAGAAAATTAAGGTGATAAGAGGTGGCTTATTCTGCAAAATATTAAGACTTATAATATTGATGTTAAGTAAAACTGTTCAAATACAAAAGCTCAATGAGTTTGAAGAGAGAGTCCAAATTAAACTTTAATGTATAATTACCAATTTACTGAGTGAACAGATCACATGAATCAAAGTCTATAGCTAAAAAAAGAGATTCTAGTAGGAAATATGTGGAAATAGACATATAACCATATACTCTTATAGTCCTTTCTATTCATAACACAAATTTGTAAAGCTAAAAAAAAAATGAAGAAGAAATGACTGCACAAAAAAACAAAATATTCTTTGAGGAAAAAATCATCATAAATAAAAGGTTGAAAGACAAAAAATAGGGGAACTGTTTATGTAACAGTTAAGGCTGAGAAAGGATCAATACTTTAAATAGAAAATTGTTCTTATAAATTAATAAGAATATAGTAAAAATCCCAATAGACACATGGGCAAATACCAACTAAGCCAAAAACAGAAGTTAAAAACAACCAATAAGGATACAAAATGACAAAATACAAGACAAATTGTGGATTATTTTCACAAAAAAATGCAAATAAATTACAATAGTAGATGTTTTCAAATGTCATGACCATTTTTTGGTAAAAAATTATAAAGAAGAATGGTAGTACTCAATACTGGTGAACGTGTAAGGTATGAGCACATTCATATACTGCCATTAGAAATGTTAATTAGTACAGGCTTTCTGGAGATAGGTTCAGCTATATATAGTGTATTTATATATACACACACATACTATATATAGTACATATTATGTATATATATAGCATGTGTATATATATATATGGTATGCGTGTATACATAGTATGTGTGTATTTATATAACTATATATATGCTGTTGAAACAAGTTCTGTTAATATATTATTAAAATGTACTCATGCAATTAGGAGAACATACCTATTTAGATATTCATTTCAGTAACAAAAATGGAAACAGTATAAGTGCTAGTCTTCAATCTGTGGTTATTTTAAGAGAACATTATACCACTATAATAAATTATTTTGTTGTCATTTTTATGAAACTATCTCCATGACACATAAAGAAATTAAAATAGGTTACAGGCTGGGAACCATGGCTCACGCCTATAATCCCAGCACATTGGGAGGCCGAGGTGGGTGAAATCATTGGAAGTCAGAAGTTTGAGACCAGCCTGGCCAACATGGTGAAACCCGTCCCTACCAAAAATATAAAAATTAATCAGGTGTGGTGGCGCATGCCTGCAGTCCCAGCTACTCTGGAGGCTGAGGCTGGAGAATCACTTGATCTTGGGATGCGGAGATTGCAGTGAGCCAAGATCACGCCACTGCACTCCAACTTTGGTGATAGAGCGAGACCCTGTCTTGAAAAATAAATAAAAAATAGGCTACAAAAAAAGCTTATATAACATGAATACATTTGTTTGTGTGTGTACATATGCTTGCACAGAAAAATGTCTGAAGTGATACTCAAAAAAATATTGATAATAGTTATTGCTGTTGACATTTCAGGTGGTTTATATTTTCTTTTAGCATTTAATGGTATTGGTTGAATTTTCTATGTGAGTAGGTATTATTCTTAAAATTTAAAACACTATTATGGAGGAAGAAAATGGCCCATGAACTTAGTAAAAAGGAGAAAATGTCCGAATGGTAATGTCAGTCATTTTTCTTTGGAATTGCTTAATCCTTTTTTAAGTAATTGCATTCAGTATAAAATAACTGTCTTGAATTCATAAGAAACGAGTTGACAGATAAAACTGTTTAGAGTCATCATTTTATGTAGCATAGATATTTAGATATTTTATTTCTATTATTTTCCTCCACACGTAGGTATGTTTCTAGCTGATTTGATTGAAACATATTTTGTGTCCCCTACCCTGTTCCGAGTGATCCGTCTTGCCAGGATTGGGCGAATCTTACGTCTAGTCAAAGGAGCAAAGGGGATCCGCACGCTGCTCTTTGCTTTGATGATGTCCCTTCCTGCATTGTTTAACATCGGCCTCTTGCTTTTCCTGGTCATGTTCATCTACGCCATCTTTGGGATGTCCAACTTTGCCTATGTTAAAAAGGAAGATGGAATTAATGACATGTTCAATTTTGAGACCTTTGGCAACAGTATGATTTGCCTGTTCCAAATTACAACCTCTGCTGGCTGGGATGGATTGCTAGCGCCTATTCTTAACAGTAAGCCACCTGACTGTGATCCAAAAAAAGTTCATCCTGGAAGTTCAGTTGAAGGAGACTGTGGTAACCCATCTGTTGGAATATTCTACTTTGTTAGTTATATCATCATTTCCTTCCTGGTTGTGGTGAACATGTACATTGCAGTCATACTGGAGAATTTTAGTGTTGCCACTGAAGAAAGTACTGAACCTCTGAGTGAGGATGACTTTGAGATGTTCTATGAAGTTTGGGAGAAGTTTGATCCAGATGCAACTCAGTTTATAGAATATAACAAGCTCTCTGATTTTGCAGCTGCCCTGGATCCTCCTCTTCTCATAGCAAAACCCAACAAAGTCCAACTCATTGCCATGGATCTGCCCATGGTCAGTGGTGACCGGATCCATTGTCTTGACATCTTATTTGCTTTTACAAAGCGTGTTTTGGGTGAGAGTGGGGAGATGGATTCTCTTCGTTCACAGATGGAAGAAAGGTTCATGTCTGCAAATCCTTCCAAAGTTTCCTATGAACCCATCACAACCACACTGAAACGGAAACAAGAGGATGTGTCTGCTACTGTCATTCAACGTGCTTATAGACGTTACCGCTTAAGGCAAAATGTCAAAAATATATCAAGTATATACATAAAAGATGGAGACAGAGATGATGATTTACTCAATAAAAAAGATATGGTTTTTGATAACGTTAATGAGAACTCAAGTCCAGAAAAAACAGATGCCACTTCATCCACCACCTCTCCACCTTCATATGATAGTGTAACAAAGCCAGACAAAGAGAAATATGAACAAGACAGAACAGAAAAGGAAGACAAAGGGAAAGACAGCAAGGAAAGCAAAAAATAGAACTTCATTTTTGATATATTGTTTACAGCCTGTGAAAGTGATTTATTTGTGTTAATAAAACTCTTTTGAGGAGGTCTATGCCAAAATCCTTTTTATCAAAATATTCTCAAAGGCAGTGCAGTCACTAACCCTGATTTCCTAAGAAAGGTGGGCAGCGTTAGCAGATGGTTATTTTTGCACTGATGATTCTGTAAGAATCATAAGAGAACTCTGTAGGAATTGTTGATTATAGTAAACAAAAGTGATTCAGTTTTTTGGTTTTTAATAAATCAGAAGACCACATAGAAAACTTTTACATCTGCCTTGTCATCTTTTCACAGGATTGTAATTATTCATATTTCCCATGTAAATAAACAACACACACACACACACAGAAAAATCTATTATTTATCTATTATTTGAAAATCAACAAAAGTATTTTGCCTTGGCTTTGCAATGAGATGCTTGATAGAAGTAATGAACATTAGTAATGAATGTTTAGTTAAAATGCATTATTAGGGAGCTTGACTTTTTAGCAATGTACAGAGGTTATTCTATATATTGAGGTGCTTAAATTTATTCTACATTGCATTAGAACCAATTTATATGTGCCTATAAAATGCCATGGGATTAAAAATATATGTAGGCTATTCGTTTCTACAAATGCTTTTCATTCATCTTGACTCACATGCCAACAAGGATAATACTTACCTTTAGAGTATTGTGTTTCATAGCCTTTCTTCTTTCATATCCCTCTTTGTTCATAGAATAACCACAGAACTTGAGAAATTATTCTAAGTACATATTACACTCCTCAAAAAATAAAGATAACTGAGAAAAAAAGTAATTGACGGAAGTTCTATTTGCTATTACTTATATAGCCTAACATTGGGCTGTGCTGCCCAAAATACAGATAATAGTCTCTTAAACTTTTGTCAAATTTTCCTGCTTTCTCATACGGTATTGTTTAGTCATCCTTTAGCTGTAAGCAAAGTTGATGAAATCCTTCCTGATATGCAGTTAGTTGTTTGACCATGGTATATGTTTGAGCAGATAATAACCTTGGCACAGTATTTATTGCATCACTTGTATACAATCCTGTGTTTGGCAAGCTTTCAAGTCATATAATATGACAGACTTTCAACACAGATATATGTTTAGTATGAATAAAAAAGCATTGAAATAGGGATTCTTGCCAACTTGCTCTCTTGCCACCAAGTTACTTTCCTAAATTATGGAAGTAATCTTTTGGACCTACATACTTCAATGTATACAATGAGGAAGATGTCACCTTCTCCTTAAAATTCTATTATATGAAATATATTTTGCCTCAATCAACACAGTACCATGGGCTTCTAATTTATCAAGCACATATTCATTTTGCATTAGCTGTATACATCTAGTTTTTTGAAAACACCTATTAATAGTACTTTGAAAAGAAATAACCGTAATGCTTTTTCTCATGAGTTTATTTCAGGAATATGAGATCTTTCTTCTATAAAGTCATTCATGCACAGGCAAAAGTTGAGCTACATAGATAGAACATAGTTTTATTTAGAATATTTTTGTGGGAGGTTTTGAAGCGAATATATAAAACATCTTTCACTAATTTGCTTTTCATATTTAAAAAATATTAAATTACATTTATATAATAAATGTTTAAAGTACATATTTTTGTTGTTCTGAAAATTGAAAAAGAAAGGATTTAAATGTACTTATAGAAACAAACAGTTATGGTTAAAGAATGAGACAGGAAGTCTAGAATGTTTTTAAATTGTGATGTATTTTACAACATCCGTTATGACTTTGAGACATTTGTTCAAATGTACGTATAAAACTATATCTAGGGCTAAAGATTCTTTATACCATCTTAGGTTCATTCATCTTAGGTTATTTGAACCACTTTTTAATTTAATATGAAAGACAGCATGCAGTGTTTTCCGAGACTATATAGATCATTGCATCCCATACCTGCCAAGCCTGTTGGAAATAGGTTTTGATAATTTAAGTAGGCACCTACACAAAATATATTACATTCATCAAATTTTTTAATACATTCAATTAAGAATTTAACATCACCTTAAATTTGAATTCAATCTATCATTATTTCAAACTCACAAGTTAACTGCATTATGAATACTTATATAATATAGTATGAAAAGATGTTTGACAGGTTTGTGTGTAATTTTCTATTAATGTTTTTACATTGCCTTGTTTTTATGTAAAATAAAAAATATGGGCAACTGGTTCGTTAACACAATTTCTTCTTAGCTTTTCAAAAATATATATAAAGTTGTTCTTTTTCCTATTTCATGAACTATGATTTTTTAAAAAATAACATGGTTAAGTTTTATATATATTTATGTTTGTTTCAGAAATGTCTACTTGTGACTTTTTATCAATTAAAAACAATATTTGGAAGAAAGAGCCTATTAAGTATAACCTTGAAGTAAAATTAGACTTCTCTTTCCATGTGGATTACTGTTTGTACTGATTGTATCACCCTTCAGAAGGCAATGTCATATTAATATTTAAATTTTATAATCACTGAACTTATTACACCCAACAATACAGAATGGCAGTTACACTGAAGAATTTAATTTAGAATAAAATGGAAGCAAACAGGTTTTCTAAAAATTTTTTTTAACTGACCAGGTCTCTCTCTGTCACCCAGGCTAGAGTGCAGTGGCATGATCATAGCTCTCTGCAGCCTCAACTCTGGGCTCAAGCAACCCTCTTGCCTCAGCCTCCCAAGTAGCTAGGACTGCAGGTGCATGCCACCATGCCCGGCTAATATTTAAATTTTTGTAGATAAGGGGTCTTGTTATGTTGCCCCAGGCTAGACTCAAACTCCTGGCTTCAAGTGGTCCTACAGCCATGACCTGCCAACATGCTGGATTACAGGCATGAGCCACCATGCCCCAGACAGGTTTGAACACAAATCTTTCAAATGAAAATTAGAGAATCTAATTTTAGCATTTTGATAGTTACTTGGTTTGCAAAAGATTTGGGTGACTTGTGAGCTGTTTTTAAATGCTGATTGTTGAACATCACAAATATTTAGCATGATTTTATAGAATTTTGATAGCTTTATTAAAAAGAGTGAAAATACAATGCATACATAAATAAAGCAGTTCTAAATAGCTATTTCAGAGAAATGTTAATAGAAGTACTGAGAGAAGGGCCAACTAAATTAGGATGGCCAGGGAATTGGCCTGGGTTTAGGACCTATGTATAAAGGCCACCAGTTTTTAAAAAATATCTGTGGTTTATTATGTTATTACCTTCCTGAGGAAAACAATCAAGAATTGCTTCATGAAAATAAATAAATAGCCATGAATATAATAACGCTGTTTACATAGGATTCTTTACAAATTTCATAGATCTATGAATGCTCAAAATGTTTGAGTTTGTCATAAATTATATTGTAGTAATACTTGAGACTGACACATTGTAATATAATCTAAGAATAAAAGTTATACAAAATAAAATTATGTTTACACGTATTTTCTGTTTCAGCGAGATTAACCATAGGTGGGTAAAGTCAGTGCATATCTAAATAAGTTGCAGCAACTGACAGCTTTTTCCTTTTCATTGAAAGAAGGACAGCTTTAAACATCCTCCATAAGAAGTGTTCCCGGGAAGCAAAGACAAGGATAAAGAATCTAGAATTCCAAAGCAATTTCTTGAAATCTACATCAAGGTTTGTGCAAGGGAGAAAATTAGACAGGAAGCAAAAATATGCAAACATCTAGCCATGCAGTGATGTATACATTTTTGTGTAATAGCATTAAGAGGTGGTATAGCATACATAATGGCTAAGAGCTTTGGTTCGTGGAAACTGCATTGTTCCTGTATGACACAGAGGTAGCCTGTGCTCTTACATTTTTAGTAGCAAATTGGTTGCCATACTAACTACTATTACTACTAATATAAATTCTTGATTCTGTATTGTCAGTCATTGTTCTAATTTCTTTGTGTAGCTTGTCTCATTCTACCCTTACAACCACATCATGGAGTATTACTCTTTTTCTCATTTTACAGATGGGAAAGG